AATAGTATCAATAATGCTATTAATAATATTATTATTAATAACGATAATAATGAATATAATAATGATAACAATAATAATCCAATGGCGTTGGAGCAGTCAGTATCTTCCCCTCGTGCCGATCCGGTGGGTACCTGGTTTCCATCTGAAGGTAAACAGGAGCCAAAGCCCGGGCAGGAGGCACAGGGAGAAACTTGGCTTCACCCCCACCGTAAATATTTTGCAGTGAAAAGCCCAAGTTTTCCAAACTGGCAGAGGAGCAGACCCCGCCGAGGGTATAACTCCTCGGAGTCTGTGCAGGATGCACTGACACAGTTATTCTTTTTCCCCTTGAATTAACTTCTATGTTTTTTTTTCCCCCCTCAACGTGGAACAGCAACAGAGATTGCCTTTGCAACCATAAGATTAAAATAACGATTAAAATACCGTGTATTCTCACCCCTCATGATTTCCTCCCCTCCGTGTGCAGGATGTTATGGTGACTTTTTTTTTTTTTTTTTTTTTCCTATCATTTAACTTGCACACAGACACACAGGCACACACACACTCACATACACACAAAAAGAAAGTCCTATTCTATTGTACTGGGCAGAGATCCAGAACAAACTGCAACCGTGAGGTGAATGATTTGAGAGAATTAAATATCCAGGTTCTGTGCTCAATGTCCCTGAAATTGAATATATAAAAATCTTGTCCAAGAAAATGTTATTCAGTTATAAGTAAGTGCAGGACCCGAGCTAAGAGGATGCTGTGTGGTTTCTATGGCGTGTGGTTACGATGCATATTTTGTTTTAAATAATAGTTTAATTTGGGCTGATGTTGAGAGCCTGCCAGGGCTGGAAGACGGAGCTGTTTTGCAGAAAGTACTCCCACCAATTTCCCTGACTCTTTCAATTTTTGAAAGTATTTCGCAATAATGAATCTCTGCCCTGTGTATGGCACTGGGGTCTGTTAATTTATTTGCTGGATTTTGAATAAAAGGTGTTGCCAGGACCTCTTCCTATTCACTTTCCTGTTTGGGGATTTGTTTATAGTGAACAGACAAAGCAACATTGGCGTTTGAAATATATTTTAACGATCCAAGATATGACCAAAAAATAAAACCAAACCGAATAAAAAATCTGTTTTGAAGCAGAGCCCTCCACTGCCATTAAAGGATGGGTAGCAGGATTAACAGTATCAATTATTAACAGCTTTCTTCCTCTTTAATATTTAATTCTGCATATTAGATCAAGTCAATTACATTAAGGAAATAGCCGTGCAAATTTGTAAGAGGCAGTACTTACAGGGGAAGATTAACCGGATTATTTTTTTAAAAATATTCAATATATTTCATTTTACGTAGAGGAAACGTTCTGATGGGGCTCGCGTGTGTGTATGTATATATTTATAATGGTCCATTTAATTGGTGTAAAGGTTTATGGCTTCAGTCATAATTTCAGAGGAGGCAAAGGAAATAAAATAGAAATACGTGGTCTGCCTATAACACTTCATTTTAC